CAATATAAAGAAATATTATAATTTAACAATACGCTAAATGTCAAAATTATATTATTTTTTTTGTAATTGACGTTTTCTTATAATTAAAAACAAATTTTGAGAACTGGCATTCGTCTAATTAGATGAAATTTTAATATAAATATTCAATTTAAAAAATTTCAATAATATGTCAATTTTTGACAAATGACGTTCATCTAATTAGATAACATTTCTATATAAAGAAATATACATTTTGTCAATTTTCAATATCAATAATAGTAAATTTTTGACAACTGACGTTTATATAATTAAATGAAATTTTAATATAAAGAAATATTACAATTTAACAAAACGCTAAATGTCAGATTTATATTATTTTTTCGAAATTGACGTTTTCTTATAATTAAATCAAATTTTGAAAACTGGCATTCGTCTAATTAAATGAAATTTTAATATAAATATTCAGTTTACAAAATTTCAATAATATGTCAATTTGACAACTGACGTTCACCTAATTAGATAACATTTCTATATAAAGAAATATACATATTGTCAATTTTCAAAATATTAATAATGTGTCAATTTTTGACAACTGACGTTTGTATAATTAAATGAAATTTCAATATAAAGAGATATTACAATTTAACAATACGCTAAATGTCAGAATTATATTTTTTTTTGTAATTGACGTTTTCTTATAATTAAATACAAATCTTGAGAACTTGCATTCGTCTAATTAGATGAAATTTTAATATAAATATTCAGTTTACAAAATGTCATTAATATGTCAATTTTTGACAACTGAGGTTGATCTAATTTGATAATATTTCTATATAAAGAAATATGTCAATTTTCAAAATATCAATAATGTGTCATTTTTTGACAACTGACGTTCGCATAGACTTTAATGAAGATATGCCTATGACAGTTTAAACAACATATTAATCCAAAGATTATTGACATTTTTGTAATTAAATCAAAAAGTCAGTAAAGTGTCATTTTTTTTGACAATTGACGTTTAAGAAAAGAAGATGTTTGATATGTAATTTACAGCGGAAAATAATTAATTATAAGCGCCACATTGAAAATAACGTCAGACTAGTATTTATTAATCAATTAGTAGACGCAATAATTAAATAATGAAATCGAATAAAAAAAAACAGTTTAAGAGCAAAGATTAGTCCAATCTAAACAACACGATTTAACGGTCTTTAATCGAATTATCTTCTATTCTCTAATCCGAATTGTGTAACTAACGATTGTATTATTTTCAACCTGTATCAATCCGTTTGCATGGCAATCAAAAACCGTTCGACTTCCTCCACGCATATACCGGAAAAAATAATTCCTTCCCTCATTTGCATCGCGTTTATATTCAAATCCGCCGAGGACAATGGCAGGTAAATTAAATTAAAAACAATTACCGCAGATGTCGGTGCATCTTATGTACTTAAATCTATATAACTACATATGCAACGGTTGCTTTTTAATTACAGTAATAGCGGCACGCCGTGCATCCTTGGGAAATCGAACAGACTGGATAAATAATAAGAAGCAAAAAATAATAGCGCAAGAATAAATAACGTGTAGATGTGTGACGTGTGACGTAACTGTTTGTTGCCTTGACTACCTTGAGAGGTCTGCAGGCTACGTATCATGCACGATATTCTTCCAGAACTGTTATTTTTTTCTTGTTGTTGTTTCGATTTTATGAATAGAAGCCAACTCATCCACTAATTACTCAGAAATAATAATAATAATAATAATAACAACAACATCAAAAACAACAGGAGAGAAAAAAAACACGCGCAGACGGCGTAGAAAACAATAACGAAAATTACGTCATCTAATTAGAAGTCTGTGGATGAATCCACAGCTATACATCATCTCCATTTAAGGAAGTACTTAGCGGTGGGTTTTTCATTACAAGACGTATATTCAAATCACAAAATATGTACATTTGTAATAACATCTGCAATTATTATAGATAATAATTAAGTTGTTTAAATTACCATATTCATATTTAAACTACTTTTTTTATAAAAAAAAAACAATATCATTTAAATCTTCGAAGTCTTTAAAACTAACATCCTGTTAAATTATGAATTATTTTTATATTTAATCTTTTAGTTTATAACATTTATTATTTGTTAATATTTTGTAAAACATTTAATTTAATTAATTATCAAAAAGATTGAATAAACTGTAAATTTTAAATCGGTTTAGGAAATTACATCAATTTTATTAATTAATTTAATTAAATTTCAAAGAATGTGACTAATCTGACCTAATATCGAATATGGTGTTATTATCTAATTATATTTTGATATTTATAGAGATACTTATCAGTTCACCCACAATTTACTTTCAACTCATTCAATAAATCACTCTAAGGACAAACATTTCACCTTATTTGGTACTTAATCCTACGTATTACCATAATCTTCTACGTTATAAATCAACCGGTTTCTCTAATTGGGTCAAATTTCAATATAAATAAATACTCAATTTAACAATTCACTAAATGTCAGTTATCTTGTTAATTTTTCACAACTGACATTTGTCTAATTAGATGAAATTTCAATATACACTTTTAATTTTCAAAATGTCAATAATGTGTTAATTTTTGACAACTGACGTTTATCTAAGTAGATCAAATGTCAATATGAAAATGCAGTTTTCAAAATGTCAATTTTTGACAAGTGACATTCTTCTAATAAGATTCAAATCCAATATACATATTGTAAATTTAATAATACGCTAAACGTCTTTTCGTAATTGACGTTTTTGTAATTAGATCAAATTTCAATATAAATATTTAATTTAACAATTATCAAAATATCAATAATGTATCAATTTTTGACAAGTGACATTCTTCTAATTAGATTCAAATCCAATATAAAGCAATATACATATTGTAAACTTAATAATACGCTAAACCTCTTTTCGTAATTGACGTTTTTTGTAATTAGATCAAATTTCAATATAAATATTTAATTTAACAATTTTCTAAATATCAATAATGTATCAATTTTTGACAACTGACGTTTATCTAATTAGATCAAATGTGAATTTTAAAATTCAATTTCCAAAATGTCAATAATAAATCGATTTTTGACAAATGATGTTTGTCTAATTAGGTCAAATGTTAATAGAAATATGTAAAACATACACTCAATTGAATAATTCGGTAAATGTCAGTACTTTTTCAACTTTTCTTAAGCGACGTTTCAATGAAAATGTTTATAAAAACAAAAGAAAAGTAACAGTTTTACACCGACATGAGCATAGATAAAATCAAATGAAAGGGGAAACCTTGCCACAAACATGAGTAGGTGATTTGTTACCTAATAACAATAATAGCAAGCTGAACGTGTTTTATTAAAGAAATTAAACGTTTTTGTTTTAAAGCAAACTTTATGTTTAGTAAAAATTTGCAAATTACAAATCAGTAATTCCAATTATTTTATGTATAATATAATAAAAATATGCATTATCTCTTGTAGAGATATTGCATATTGCATAGCAGTAAAAAGACAAAAAAAAAAACATATTTTTTTCATTAATACCAGACGTTGTTCTTGATTCCAGTTATTTAACTTTAATCATTTCTTTCATTAAATCCAAGATATTTATAAATATCGTTCGAGAAACTCGTTGTGCATTCAAACTCATTTAATCATGCTGAGAAGAAAGGTGGAATAAATACGTATATTCTCATCCCATCGTATCTTCTTGCCTTGGATAAATAGCTTCAAATTAAAGATCACATGATACATATTTATATTTCTCGTTTTTATCCCGCACAATGGTAACTTTAATAACGTATCTTCAATAGGATTTTTTTTACTTCTCTTAAGTGTTCATTCATTATGTATAAAGCATTATAAACTAGACTTCAAACATATAATTAACAAACGTCCTTTTCTTTTGAAATTTTATTGAATGAATTGTCACGCATCACGATTGTAAATGTTTTATGAATGAATGAATCTGACATATACATACACGTGATATTCCAAATACTAATGACAGATGACAGTACAATTATATCTGACGGTTATGACAAATAAGTAACATAGATTTCCATGGCACCCAACAAAAGTTGGTATTATTCTTTGAATTATCCAAAATGCAAGAAACTATTATTTTTCAGAAATATACATTAATTTCCATTGAATCTCTAACATAAAATAACTAGTTTTGCGTGTAATTACAACTGGTTTTTCGAATTATATAAAATGTCTTAAATGAGAAATTATGTTTTATTCTATGATGTGTCTAATAAATCGCATAGTCCGGGTCAGCTAATATTTCATACTCTTTGAAACCAGACTAAATACGTATAAATAAATAAACTCTTTGACTGTATAAATAAAAAAAAGGACTATTCAATTTCTACAATGATTTATAACAGGATGAAAAACTCACCTTTGGTGGTCGTACATTTAAATACCTTGATATATATTTATATATAATAAGCAGCATCATATAATTACGACTGGCAAACAAATCCAGCATATTTTCCTAACTGAATCTAATTGCAGCCTGCCACCATACGTTTCCATTATGTCTTGCAGAAAGTCTTGTCTCGAAACGTTGATTTTTTTGTGTTATTTTTTTTTCATTCGTTGTGCTGCGCCCAGCAAAACGAAGGTAAATTATATATTATATGTGTAACATAATGATATAGTCCATACGGTATGAAATTAGCAACAAGATACGTTTCTGCTGCTACTACTGCCGCCGCCGTCTCGTAATTATTTTGACCCAATTATCCATGCAATAAATAATTGCACAGTTTATTTATAACGTTCCTCGAAGATCTTCAGCGGAAAAACCGAAGATTCCCATGATTAGAGAAGAAATGCACGGATACGTATCGGTGCGATACAGTTAGGTTGCTCCAAATCCGGTAGCATGGGAAAAACATTGGAAACACTCTGTCGTTCATCTTTTATTTATTTGTTTATTTTTTGTTGTTGTATATCAGACGGTTTGAATTGTGTTTTCATTTACAGGTTTCTTCCACGTTCACTGCCACTTATGCTGCCAATATACCCAATAAACCAACAAGTAAGTACTTCTACTACTTCTACTTTATAACATAAAATCTATACTTTCCAAGTAACTTGTCAAATGTCAATGTAAATTATATATAACCTCTATGATTACCAAAGTTTATTTCATAAAAAAATTACATAATACTTTCCTTGTAACAATAAGGTATACTTGCGTGATTACAAGTTACTTGGCTCGATTATCCGAGTTAATTTAAAATAACTTCAAACCTAACGTCAAATATATGTCAATGAAATTCTTTTGATGTACAATTTCTGTGTGCGCGTACACACTTTATGAAAGTTATAAATTTATCAGAAATTGGAATATAATGGTGCGTATACACTACGTTCTTTATGAACGTAACAAATCTATCAAAAAGAATAAAATATCGAAAATTACATTTGACATTTAAATAATTTGACATTCCAACTAAGTAACTAATGATAGTGATTTTTTATATAAGTTGGTACGTGATATAAGTTTAAAAAAAATCCAATTACCAATCACATTTTATTTATTGTTTTCTTCAAGAATTGCAATTACTACGGTTATTACATTCATTATTTAATTAAATGAAACCAAAATATATTAACTTAGTTGTTTCAGTAGTTTCAAATCTCTCAGTTAACCAAACTATTTAACAGATATTAATTCAAAATATTGATATTAAAATAAAATTAGGTAAATTTGATAACAAAACAAGTGAAATAAATGGTTTTCTTTAATTATAATCCAAGTATAATTAAACTGAAATTAATTTCTATATACTAGCTAACACATTATAGATTAATTTACTTAATACAAGATTAAATTGTTACATTTTTTAACAAATGATTTTGATAATTACAGTTAATTAAATTATCCAATTTCAAAATGATTTTTTATTTACTTTTGTATAAGCCATACTCATATAAATGATTCAAAAACTTAATTGAATTTGTGTATAATACAAAGTACACATAGCAATCATTGTTTATTATATTCTATAAGTGGGAAAATGCGGCTCTTGCGGTAAGAAATTGCGGCTCTCAAACTCTCACTATGTTGGAAAATTAATTTCTCTAATAAAAATAGTTACGTGCAGATCACTAGACTTTTTTAACAGGCAAAAGACTCTTACATCCCAAAATTATCAAATTATTACGTAATATATTATTTATTTAGTGCTATAATATAGTTCACTTTACTCACGTTTTTTGCGTGCAAATAAAACCCTTTTATTATATACTAAGAATTTATATGCAACGCTTGCTTTTCACTATACTAAAAGTACTGTAATAAAAGTACAGGTAAACTGTGAGTAATTTAAAACTCGTTGCTATGGATCAATAATGTTTATCGTCTGTTTAGTCTTCATACTTGAATTATTGTTTTTTATTTTATATTGTTTTTTTTTGTTCTTTCTTTACTTGAAACAAGTTGGGAACCTATTAAAGGTCAGACGTTACATTTAAGTCACGGCCGTGAGACCCATACCGACATTTCCTACATGCTTTTAGTACTTTAATAACTTCGTGTATAATTGAAAATAATTATTATCACCGTAAAGAAACAAAGAAAATAATAATAATAACATTTATTTTATTACATTTATAATTATTTATTTTCTGTTCCAACAAGTTATAATAATTAGACTTCAATTAATTAAGAAGCTAATAAATTGTAATTTAAAAATTATATGTTATTTTTTTTTACTTCTGATAATATAATGAATACAGAGGTCACTCGTTTTATCAACTTTGACTGTAAAGTATAGGAAATCGCGAATAGTTAAAAAAAAATGGATGATTTGTGAAGACATTCGATTTTACTAATAAGTTTAATTTTTAATGAAAATGTATGTAAGTTCAATCTATTTGAAAACTGTGGAAGAGTTTATAGCTTTCTCCAAATAATTTAGGTTAAGATTATCTCACAATTTTATGGATCATTTATTGGATAATAAATCTAACAACTTAAAATATAAAGTGGATTTACAATTTCAATTATAGTCATTAAGATAAACTGTGCATTTCAATTCATGAATGTAAAAGTAATAAAGTGTATTTATATTCATTAAGACGCTATAATTCACTAAACATTTGGATCATTTAGATTGTATATAGGTTTTTCTTTAAAGCTATATTGATTTATACTCCTTTTTCTTGCGATACTTCTTTCATTCTATTTACTAAAAACTTAATTTTGATAAATTTGTATAAATCAAAGTAATAATTCATATTCAAATAATAACGCGTTTCAAATCAATCACACAAAACGAATTGCAAACTACCTGATTTAATAATGAATTTAACAAGCGCGGCAATTTTTCAATTACATTAATTTCATTTTAAATCCTCGTCATTTCGTAATTACATTTGACTCCTTCTGCGAACCGTCAACAAGTTACATTTCCTTTTTACTTTTATTTTCTTTTTATATATATATATTAATTGCATTACGTAAGCGAAAACGTTGATGTCGCGATTTAACGGTACTGCCTGGACTAAATGGATTTGTCTAATTACATGCCAACTACACCACACGATATACACGTGTGCATGCATGCTATGATGCTCTTCGTTTCGAGACTCGTTCTAAATGCTAAACGGTATTAAACTGTACACCAACATTCGACTGCACACCACACTTCGGTGACTTACTATATTTCTTTACCGCAGACGTAATGTCATCTGGCGCGAAATACAAAAACATATAAATAGGAATACAGCAATACCTCGAATAGTGCGGCAATTTGAAACTGGATTAATCGGGCAGCACTATCTTATCCATTAGCCAGTGTCTTGGAATTACAAGGGACCCACGAGTCTTTTTGACATTTACAAACCGGACTATAGCCAACCGGATTAATCGAAGTCTATCAGACACTTGAATCTAGAATCTACTTATCAACCACACCAGCTCATATTTTTTTGATTACAGAAAAACTTTTAATTCCGGACTAATCGAATCCTTGCTGTGCACGGTAGTTCGTTCAATACAATTCATTCAATCCATACGATTTACCGATTCTTTTACAGCTATTTGCGTGGCCGAAAGAATTCCTCAACAATTTTAATTCATTCTCCTATTATTTGTTTACTCGCTCTTTATTCTATCTTTTCTTACTGGAAATATTTCAAATTCATTCATGCATTCACTTGACTCTTGGCAATAATAAAGTAATATTTAGAGCGGTGTTTCCAATGTGTTTTGACCATTTTTACGTATTTCTTTTTTTTTTTGTTCTTTCTATTCGCCATTTCAGAGCAACATGACCCGAATACTATGCGAACTTTCTGTTTTCGTTACTTTCTTTGAATACTGAAAAGATCGTTTCTTGCAGACTTACGTGTGCACAAGCACACATTTAGAGTACGCCCACATCTATCGGTTCAATCTCCGATTCAATTAAACCACTTCAATTGTCTTTCGCGCTTTTTTTTTCTTTCTTCCTTTTTTGTTTCCATTACAAAACACTTTACATGCTTACTCAATTAAAGTAACCAACGCAATCACGTGCACTCGACCAATTTGAGAGCGCAATTTCATTTCATTTAAGACATCCAAGAAACAAACCAAATACGAAACACAATCTTATCTGCAATCATTTGTGAAAAGAAATAGTTATCTTAGAAATCGGAACCACTTTAGAATATGCATTCTCATTACTGATACCATGAGACATTAATGACCTTCAGGTATACCACCTACCTTTAGTTGTCATTGGGGACCACATTAAGGTTGTCGTGGGCCCTAGGAACCTATGGTTTTAAGTGACATCTTAGCAATTTAACAACAAAATATGTAATCTTGCATTTATACCAGCGTTTTCCAAACTGTGAGGCGCGCCTCCCTGGGGTGGCGTGAACTAGTCTAAGGGGAATATTAGTAGCAGTGAGCAATTTTCCTAATATCTGCTAAAGTATAGATACATTCCTGTGCTCTTATCCATATTGCTGTAATGCGCGTTCCTTTTATGAAAGGGGAGGCGCCAAATGATTACATACTTTTGAGGGAGGCGTAGTAACTTCAAGTTTGGAAACCACTGATTTATACTATGAAGTAGCTACGCCACTGGTTGTCATGGAAACTATTGTGTTGCTTGAAGTTTGGAAACCACTGATCTAAAGAAAGCATTCATTTAGNGTATAACTTCAAATTTGCAAACCACTGATTTATAGTGTGCGCAAACGCACATGTTTATAACTGTCAGGGAGGCGTAGTAACTTCAAGTTTGGAAACCACTGATTTATACTATGAAGTAGCTACGCCACTGGTTGTCATGGAAACTATTGTGTTGCTACCATGTAACATAAAAGTTAGTGAACCTTACACCGCACTCTATGTGGATGCAACATTAAATAATCAATCAAATATTAAAAATCATGTTGTGGACAAATTGTAAAGAAATATTTTATTTTAATTTAAGTATGTTGTTGTTAAATTATGATTGCAAGGAATGGAAGTAATAACAATTTCCTTACGGTAAAAGACGGAGCTGATCGTATCTTAAATAAGAACGTCTCGACTCTTGCTGAATATATTCCACGCAAGAAGGCTTACATCATCTCACGTAATTTTCTTGACTTTCGACACTTTTTTAAACTGCAAATGGGACGAAAAACAATACATCGCATGTTCATTGAAGTGTTGCAAATTATATGCATATCATGAAAAAT